AAAAGAACTAATTCATCTGATTGAATTGCTGGGAAAATCGATTAGGTTGAACACAAAATGCAAGATAACATTTGACAAACTTAAGTGGAAATTTTGAACTTAATCTAAATCTGGTATCCAGCCATTCGCTTGAGGATGGAGTATCCGCCCATTCGCTTAGCAAGTCCCCCGAATCCCGTCATTCGCTTCTCGAAGTTCGAATATCCCCCCATGCGCTTCTTAAGTCCCAGTCCCCCGTAGCCGCCCATTCGTTTCTCAAACACACTATATCCCCCCATTCGCTTGTCGGGCGTCTCTTCCGTCACTCCTCCGAATCTTCGCACGTCGGGCGATGTGATCAGGTTTCCGAGAGGCTGTCCAAAGTCGTAGATTGCACGGGTCTCAACATTCACCGGGTAGCCCTCGTCTGATGCTCGGACTGCCAAAATGGCACAGCAGAATAGGAGAAAAGCTGCGGCGACGGCGGCTGAACTAATTGGGGCATTCATTTTGTGCAACTAGAGACTGCTGTATTGTGCTTTGTGGTGTTTTTTGGAGGCCTTTTTAGATGAAAATGGAGAGAAGTGTTATTATAGCACGTCAATTTCAGGAGAGGAATTGACTTGTAGATCTTGAAGGATATAATTGGAATCAGGTGTGGACGCTGATCGGAACTGAAGCGACAAGTTGGGGGGTTTTGAAAGCAAATGAGAGAGCGAATAGCAATTTGAACAGAGGGCTAAGTCGGAAGAGAAAGAGTGAGCGGAGAAGGAGTCTAATCTCGCGGATTGGAAATGATGGGTGAAAGACCAATTAAAAGTTTAATAAGTGGTCGCGATGGTTTACGGTATTAGCTGTTCCTTTCTAGCTAAGAAGGGATTTGGGCGCTCTGTGCAATTTCAACTGGTGAGATTAGGATAATTAGATGGGGAGTTTTGAGAAGGTGTGAAATTAATAGCCCACTTTGTATCCCTTCTTTGACTTTTCGTATCAATTTTTATTGGCCTGATACCTCCTCGCCCTATTTGGTAAAATAAACTTGAAAGTGGCCTCTGTAAAACAGAGTGACGATTGCCGATACCTGTACTGGCGCTATTTATTAAGTAATGAAACAGTGTTCGGGGTCTTGTTGATTGAAAAATATAAGGCGCTGTTTTGTTTGGCCTGCAATAATTGTTTTTTGGAGCTGGATGATTTTAGATTAAAAGATTTATAAGGGCAGCATGTCGAAGAACAAAGGAGCAATCATTTTTCCATTCAATTGGACGCCTAGTTTTAGCCCAGGTAATCAGACGGAGCAACCATTAAGGGGGCAAAATTAGGCAACTTGGGTCGTTTCTTTTTCTCCTTTGCTCAGCTCTGTTCATTTCCGGCATTGAATTAGTGCTGTTCTTGATAACGGGACTTAAAAGTTGAGTCTGGTTCCCATAACGCCAACAACACCAATCACGCTACAACTTCCTGTCCCATTTGATCTGTTACCCTCTATTGACCCCCACCGCCACCAAATCCAATTTGAAATCCCCCTTGCCACCGCACCATCACACTGACTGTCAAGAAAAGACGGGTGGGGTGGGAGGGACCTCATCAATCGAGTATGAGATTGTTACATGATTATGCAAAAAAGGCATAGCCGGATAAAATCTGGATTGGGCTCGATGAGGGCGCGGTATGAGTATCAAGAACAATTTCGCAATTGGTGTTTATAATTAACCGTACATTATAGAGATAAAGTACGGTATATTTATTCTTAGTTAAAGAGGGCAGTAATGTCAAGTGACTAAAACGAAACTTGCGCAGAACTACCGTTTGGATGAAACATTTTTAATCTGGCCCTTTAGTCCATACAAAAAAATTAAAGATAGCCGGTTGCTGTGCAAATGTATGAAAAATTGATAAGTTCAAGACTTAGTCATTTTAAATTTTTTGCTCAATGTTCCGAAAAAGAAACAAGACTGCTCGAATATCAAGGCAAAGCCATGAATTTTCTGGTCTCGAATAATTTTTGTTCAATATAATTTTGATTAATCAAGAATTTCCAATACCACATAAAAAGTACTAAAATTCGAGTGGACTTAAAATGACCAATTAGTTTGCCTCAATTCAGTTACGAACAATTATGAATGCGGAATAATTCGGCTTATAAATTCGCGCGTTGAAGTTATCAGCTATTAATCGAGGGTACTCGCTTGGCAAGCATACTCGCTAGGCAATCCGAAGATAGCCGGATCGATACCCATATGCAGTCAAATTTTTAAAACGGCGCTGGAAAAAAAACACCCGGGCATATATATTACTTGGTTTCTTCAAAAATCGGATTATTAAGTTTATTTTAACGCAGTTACAGATGATCGAATCACTTTCGAAAGTCCGAACAAAACTCTTTGAACAAAAAGGCGCAAGACAGAATGCTGATTTCTGAAGAACAAACTGATGTGCTCTTCTTTCACGCTATGTTTTCATTCCTAGCATATCTATCTATCTTCAACAAACTTCTATTCCATATTGAAGCCTAATTTTGCCAAGTTGATGAATGTTAAATTATTTTTTTTAAATTTAATTTGATTTAAAATTTTGTCCTTTTTTTTTTTAAAAAAAACAAGCCGTTCTTTGGAGCCTCGCGGGAAACTTATTCAACAAAAAATCTATAATCGGTTTTATTTAATTTTGTTTTCAGGCAATTAAATCCCAGAAAAGTTGCCTCTATAATTCCCTATGTTGAGACTATGAGCTGGCCATAACACTACGTTGGCATGGCAGCAATTTCCAAAAAAGCGGAAATTTTTTAGTTATTCACAAATGAAATACTTGCACTTCGAAATGACTTGGTCCTCGGAAAATTAAGTTTAGAGTAGCTTTCTTGTTTTGAAGCTTTATTTTGCAAATTACTTTAATACTAGCGGGATGGTATTTAAGATAATATTTACACTTTTTCTTACCCTGAACATCTTTTCTGAAACATTTGCAAAAATGTGAAGTTGCTTATTACCAAACTTTGTCAATATCGAGATCTTTTCAATTGGCCCAGGGATAACGCAGATATCTTTGTACCCTAAAGTCCTGGGTTCGAGACCTGGCCGGTTCTTGTTTTTTTTCACTGTGAATGAAATTGATTATTTTTCCGGTAAAGATTGGTTTTTCAGACTTTCGTTTCTGTTTTTCCGGCTCAAAAGCCATATTGAAGATTATTTTGTGCTATCAGCCTTCGTGAATGCAAGTGTTTTTGGATTACCCCTGTCATCTGTAAAATGCATGCTGCCTCGTTGATTGTTTTCCTTGGTTTTCCTTTTTCTTTTTTTCCGCTTTAAAACTTTATTTGGACTATATTGTCTCAGCTCACTTTTTTTTGGCTTAGTTACTCTATTTTATGTCGCTTCAAAACCAAAAAATGGTAAACAATTTTTAAAAATCAGATTGTTTCTGTTGCAAGATTTTACAACCTTTTTTCTCGAACTTTTTATGATATTTTTATGGCATTATTTGTTTCTGGACAAATTGGGGTCTACCATTCTTGCCGGCTTAGGTGCTGCTCAGTGAACACTTGAAGTTAATTTAAAACTGTGGTTGTGTTTTTCGATTGTTTTTCGGAAATTATTGAAATGCTACGCTTGCGTCGTACGCAACTGGTGCGAAGTTCTGCTTCGGCTATGTGTGTCAATTTGGGCCTCAAACTCAAGTTTAAGTTTAACCATCTGGCAAGATATTTTTTATTGAAAATTAAAGCGTTTTTGGCAGTGCGCATATTTTCTCTCTTTATTGAATACTATTTGGTCATTTTAATGCCGATCTTTAGAGACACTATCGCGCCGTTCTCCTTCAAGTGTCTTAAATGTTCCGGATTCAAACAAGATTCAGTTTTAACCGGGTTATGTTATTTTCAAAAATTTTTGCTGACGATGGGTAAAAACGCTGAGGGTCAAAAGACACGGGTTATAAGCTCAGGAAGCGCTGTAATTTTATTTTTTGTTACACATGTCGCATTTTAATATAGTGTTTAGATTTGTTTTCTTCTAGTCTGTTAAATTTTCACATTACAGACACGTCATATAATCAAAAAACTGGAACAAGCTGAAAAACTAGAGAAGAACGCTTTTATGCCCTCAAAACTTTGGTGAAAAGCAATTGAATCTAAGCTAATACTCCCAATATTTTCTAATCATTAATTAAGTAGGTGAGCGAAATTTAACTATAGCTTACAAGTTGTTAGAAAAAACTTGATGAAATCAGAGAATCGAAATGAAAAATCAAAACTAGAGAAATGGGGTCAATAGTTTCAATTTTTACTCCGCTGGGAAATCAAGGCATTAAGAGACAATCACGTTTTTCTGCGGCAATAGCACTTTTGCTATTAAACAGTGCAGTTTGCATGAACTCAACTTCAAAAAATCACATGACAAACTGCAACAAATCAAACTTAAACGTGAACAAACTTTAGTCTTCTTCCTGAAAAAAAAAACTTCACGACCAAAAAAAGATGAATCACTCCTTTCAAGTAAATTTTATGCGCATTTGATAATAATAGTAAACTAAGCATTTCGACAATGATTTCCTTCAAAAATGAATCGTAAAACATTAAAAGTAAACTTGTTTTCTTTTATCGCTTAAATTTGTTTTTTTTTTATTTTCGATTCCAAAAAAGCGGAAAAAATACTTCAAATTTATATTTACTTGAACAAAACGTAGTTTTCGCGGCACAAACAAAAGTTTATTTCATATTGTAAGCCTGTTGGTTCATTTTTTGAAATTAACTGCTGTCTCATTGAAACTAGACTAAAGCTAAAAATCAAAAATTTTAAACAGGTTATCTCGACACTGTCTTTCAAATCAGGACTGAAAGAACTACGATTATATGACATATCACACAACCCATTCTGGTGATAATTTGTGGAACCCGATTTAGCTTAAAACAAAAACTTTAAAAAAGCACCAAAAGACAGAGTTTCTCCCCACTTTAAGTGGTCGCAACAAAAATGGTCAAAGACGTGCTCAGTGCTTTGTCCATCTGTAACTGCTATAAATTGGACTTATTGATCCGACTTTCGAAGAAAGCGAGAAATATATATGCCCGGGGTAGTTTTTTATTTAGACCGATTTTAGAAAAGTTGACTGCGCATGGGTATCGATCCGGAAACTTTTGGATTGCCAAGCGAGTATGAATGACTCGAATAATAGTTTGATACTTTGTTTCAATACACATATTATTTATGAATGGCAACTTATCCGGACTAATCGTTCCCACTTGAATGGAGCTCAAATTATTCGAGGCCAATTAATGGGCAGTTGGAACAGTCAGGGCTTTGCCCTGATACGAGCAGTCTTCTTACTGTTTTTGTGATAGTTCATTTATGAATAGCAGGCTATCTTTGCAGCAAAAAATAGGCTAAACAATTTTTAAGTTAAACATTTTAAAAATGAGCGATCGAACCATATAACCATGTGATGATTTACAAAAATGGTTAATTTTCTTTGACAGTTGGAATATAATACCAAAACAAAATCAATTAAGAATGTTCAGCTTGCATAAGTTCAATTCAGCATATCGACTTTTGCTTTCTTGGCACCTGAACACGATTCTGAAGAATCTTCTTCTAACTTCCACGCTATGTCCTTCTCTGATACATTTGCTACAGTGAGGTTAGCGTTTTCTTTACACGAGTCTGTTTTCTTCAGTTGCACCGTATTATTCAGCAAGTCCGCCTCGCTCTCATGTGATATATTTTGCATAACACTAGCATTCACATCTTCTGATGAAGGCTTTTTAGCTGTCGCATCTCTTGTATCGATGTCTTTCCTCATCAATTCTTCGGCTTGCTTAACCATTACTTCATCCTAGTAAAAGAAAATTTCATAGCATTTGTAGTTGAACACAGACGGAACGTTCATCACTACAAAAAACTTTGAAAACATTTCCAAGTTGTTCCGGTATTATTGTTTGGTTAAATATTCACTTAATACTTGAAATTCAAATAATTTTTGTTTTCCGCTCTCGAGAAAAAAAAATTCTCTGCCATGAGAAATCCGCAACTTCGTTCTAAAAACACGTAATAAAACTGAAAAATAGTGGTAAGGCGTTCACTTTAGAATCGTCAGATCGTGTAATCGATCCCATGCCATGGCAATGATAGTGTGTGAGGACGAGCTCTCACTTGACCTCTAGCTTCAGGTCTACCACAACCTGACCAAATTTGGCTGCAAAAGTGGTACCACGTGAAAGTTCTAGACGCACAAAAACGGCCTTGAGTCGCAAAAAAGAGCTTCGCTCAACAAAATAACACAGTCTGGAATGTGGGGAAATAATACAAACGGACTATCCTCGACAGGACTGTTAAGGCCTACTGATAGCTCCTCTGCGATTCGCAGGAACTACAATTAATTAATTTAAAAAAAACAGTGAAATGATAACTACGGTTGTACTATTTCAGCACGTTAATGGATTGTTATATGCGTGTGACAATTTCTGAAACTACTGGATAGAAAAAACGCTGCTTCCTATGCTCCTGTGCATCAATGCAACTTACACTTCCCATGTTTGACAACTTACTAAATAACAGGAAGCAAATGCGATTAATTTTGGCGGATACAGATCTTGCTATTAAAACCGCCAAATCGAAACAGTACCAGGAACCTGCGGAACAAGAAACCTAAGGCAGAAATCTAACAAAAAATGGGTAACTTAACACAAAAAATGAAATCATCGAACGGTCAAAGAGTCAAAATACTATTCATGTTCAAATTGTTTTCAGACGTTAGAGAGACAAGTTTTCACATTTTCAACCTATTATGTTCTTGACCAGTGGCGTGCGCAGAAATTTTTCAAAGGGAGGCCGTTTTTCGAAAAAATTTTGAAAATTATGCGGACTTTTTTTTAGGTGGATCAATTTGAGTTTCCGAGCTCTCCGAAAATATTATAAGGAACCTATTTCAACAAAAAAATTTTGCGCCGCTGGCAAAATTTTCAAAAAGCAGGCCAAAAAAATACGTTTTTAGGCACTTTTTGGAAAAATTTGACCAAGAAATTGCGTTTTTTTGGCGCGCGCTCCCCCCTCGAAATTAATTATTTTGGCGGCAGAGGCGCCTTTGGAAAATTTTCGAGGTTGGTCGGCCAAAAACACAAATGTCGTAAAGTTAAACCAAACGGGGGACCCTTTAGAAAAATTTGGCAACCAGAATTGAGCGCCCCCCACGGGAGGCTACTGTTCTTGAAGCATAGTAAGTTCATACGTCTACTTTCAAAAATATAATTTTTTCTTTTTCACAGCCTCTCTATGACAATATGTCTAAATGGGCTTTTGTTCTTTGAAGCGGTTACGTTACGTTCACCACTACATCTCAAACTGTCCTTTAATTATAATTTGCTACGCATTCAATGGCCTCAATATCAGTTTGTTCAATGTGTAGTTTCTCGCACACAAACAATCCAATAAAACACTTGTCAATGAACGGGTCGTTAAATTTGCAGTTGTGACGTTAGCCAAGAAAACTTCCCGATTGACGGGTTCAGGGTTTATCAAAATATCAAGCCTGGTACGACGAATGGGCAAAAAAAGACGCTCGATGCAATTGGACTACGATTGGGCCACTATCCGCAAGCAGGGTAGAATTGTCAAATTGACCAAATGACGTTCTTAAAATAAAAATAATAAACCAGCCACAAAAAATGCAGTAAGAGAAAAAAGGCATTGAAACAGGCAATGTGGGAGCATAGCATAGAAAACGACCAAATATGATTCTCCTTAATTATCGTTTGAAAAAGGAGACACCAAGAAAACAGAATCGAAAATAAAATACCCGTTAAACTATTTATGAAGTATAATTTGACAGTAATCTTTTGCTGTCCTATAAAAGATTTCTGTACTGAGACTTCAAAGCAGCCGCTGATACACACTGGAATTTCAATTTCACTAGCGGACTTTGATTAAGTGAACAACCCAGGGCTCCGCGGGACATTGCAATTCCAAAGGCACAGCCTTCCACGAACCCCATTGTTACATCCATCATTGAGAGTTGTCATGTAAGGCCTTTTTTCAGACCAAAAGAGCAGGTGAACTTGCGCTAGTGTTAATGAGTAATAATTGATAACAAAGCGAAGGCGAGTTGCCTTATTCCGCTATGCCATTTTAAACGACAAATTTGAGTCATGCTTAAAACGCATCTTTTTCTGTTGATCAACTGGAACCCCAAATTGACAATAAGGATGCAAAATTTCGATATATGAGTACATGTCTATCTGTGTCTTCATCCAAAATTCAAACACAAGTTTCAGTTAGATTTGTAAGAAGTTTGAACAAGTGGACTATGAACCCGAACTCAAAACAGGGGGGATTGTTCACTTGGTTAAAATAAGTTTATTTCAGCCAATTAGATTTCATTACAGTACATGTAGGCCTTACTGCTTGAACTTGTCATTAAATTCAGTTGAAGGATGCCCTATACCTCTTGTTTACGCTCTGCTTCCCGACAAAAAAGAAAACAACTTATTGTCGCCTCCTCAATGATCTAAAAGCTGAGTCCCCAAAACACGTTACAATTGAATTTGAAGGAGCTCTGCGAAACTCAAAACGAGGTACCTATCAAAGCGCTCACGCTCAAATTACGTTTTGTTTCTTCAATATGAGTCAAAGCGTCTGGCGACATATTCAGGCATCAGGCAACACTCACAATTACAACAATAGCTTTAAGTTTCGTGAGCTAATTCGAATGCTTTAGTCAACAGCATTTCTGCCCGTAGAAGACGTCGCCGCTGCGTTTTAGCTTCTTCGCCGTCTAGCATTCGAAAAATTTCAATCGATATTCAACAATTTCGAATAAACATATATTGACAACCAAGCTGCAGACGGTTGGAACAACAATTTCACGAAACTAGTCAGAATTTTATTAGAAAAATGAGAGCAGGTCAAAAAGTACCCGGGGACTCAAAAAGATTAAATACCAAAAACTCGAAAAAAAACTCAACCTCCCCTTTGGCCTGGCCCAGCTCTCTACAGTTCTTTGCTCTCTAGACTTCGAGTCTAACGCATTACTCTTTATAACACGATGCCTTTGCTTTTCTGATTTTTGGTTCTCGTTTCTTTAATTTTTGGTTCTGTGATCTTTAATTACGCTCATATTTGATGTTTCAAAGCGTAAATCAATTCTGTCGGCGCCAAAAGATCAAGGTCAAAAACGTTAAATGGTTTCGGGCTATTTTTTGTATGGGACTGTTTTTAAGACTTTTTGTGATGTTTCGGACTGTTTTGTATGGGAATTTATTTGTGTTAGCGCCAATTTTAGGGGGATATTTGTTCACTTGGTCTATTTCAGGGGGAGAATGTTCACATGGGCATTGAACTGATAGTAGGAAGCGTATGCGCTATAAAAACACTTCAAGAAGGCCCCTAAATTAACGAACAACCATTAACATTGATAAATTTTCAGATTTTGAATTCAAGGTATATCCGATCAAGAGTACGGTATATAAACCGACCATAAAAAACGACTGGTTTGCAAATCAAGCAATCAAGTATTGAATTCTTATTGTGGTTATCGTAAAATAAGCTCAACTTTGGTAAAGCAGCTTTTTTCTCACTTTGAGCCAATTGTGCCGGAGTGCCTGTGTGCAGTTGAATCTCTTCGCAGCGTTGACAACGATCATTTTGCTGATCAGATTCTTTGCTGAAAAGAAGAATGAGCACTGTTAATGAGGTACTGAAGACATGAAACATGTATCTAAATGTACCCACACAAATTCAAATTGATATGATTTTTGAGCTGGATTAAATCGCCGCCTACACTACGCAATAATAGAAAACTCAGAAAATTTAGCCGGTATTGGCTCGTGTTAAAACAATTGCATATGAAACAAGAATGCTCGTATCAAGGCCCTGTATGTACTGATTTCCCCATAACGCAACTGAAATACCTTTTGATTAAATTGTGTTTTTTGGAAAATCTCCCCGATAGAGTTTAAAAATTGTGAACAAATTGAGTTTCAACTAATTTAATCAGTGTTTTGTTGAAAATTACTTGAACATGGTAAACTTTCTGGGGGAGTCAAATACTCCCTTTTGTCTATCCTCTCTTTATTTATCTAAATGTCATTGATAATAACACATGTTTAAAATATCTCTATGACTTTGTTGATATCATATTGGGTACTTGATGGGATAAATTCTTTTTGTTCCGACTTCTGAAGAAAGTGACGGAATATTTTTGCTCGGGGTATTTTTATTCCTCCAGACCAACTTCGACTTTTCGAGAAAAAAAATTGTTGCCCTGAGCTCAAATTCAAAAGATATTTTAACTAGCCATACTTGACAATTTTTTATCTTCCGAAGCTTACCCCGAGCTTATATTAAAAAAATATATTCCTCCGGAGATCATATTTGGTAGTTACAATGTTTTAAAGATTGCCAATTTGCGACAATTAATGCGCGAAATATTAGGGACAATTAACGCGCGAATTTCTTAACTTTCAAAACATTTCTACACCATTAAAACGCAGATCTATCAAGTGAAATAAGAAAAAGAAGAAATAATCATCGAATTAGCAAAACCTCGGCTACGAGCCGAATTTGAATCTGCGAACTAGCAACTAACGCACTAACCACTCAGCCACGGATGCTTAAGATCCCCAAAAACTAGCCATCAAAACACAGCTACATATGCTAATAAATTGTCAATTCGATGCAACAAAAGTAACATCAAATACAAAAAGACACAATTTTGCATGTAATAAATTAGAAAGCCTAAAGCCAAATTATCTATAAATTATGCATTTGAAAAAAAATGCAAGACACATAGATTGGAAAAATTCTGAAATCGAGCTTGTACTATTATTGTAGTGCTGTTTGAAACAAATAACTTTTTTCGGTTCATTTGATGAATCAAAAATGCATCAACTGTGTTAATTTTTTACAATTCAAATGTCAAAGCACTTATGACATCATATGGCTACAACAGCCTACCGACTCAAAAGTGTCACCAAAAGTAGCACTTTTAATTGCGACTGAATTTGAAAAAACAGAAAGTTCGTACTAAAACAAATCTAAAATCGCTTCAAAATTTTTTTTCTTTTCAACATGAAATTTTTAGTGTATATAAAAAAAAAACGTGTTAAAAAGCGTTAGGGCGTTCTACGTTCTTCGTGCATTAATTTAAAAAATTTTTAACCGGCAAATAAGCCGAAAAAAATTGGGCCGAAATCAATTGAGCCTACAAAAGAAAACAATTTTAGATCTGAAAATTTTTTCACCAGTAGATAAACTAACGCACGATCTCTAAGCACAGAGGACTTCAACGTGCAATGTGCTGAAAAAAGAGATATTGAAATTGGAGATCCTGTGAGCAAAAATCTTCACCGAAAAAGTCGAATACCCGATTGCAAAACCCTTGCTTATCGCAGGGGTAAATTACTTTCTATAAAAACCCTGGTATGCACGCCTAGCCAAAAAGTTGAGTTCCATTCGTAAAAAAATCGGGCTTTTCAAAAATTGGAAGAATATCTTTCTCGAAGTTGGGACGATTACCCGAGCACATATATTTCGTTACGCTCTTCGAAAGTCAAAAAATAAACTGAAAAACAGACACTTGGAAAAATTTCAATGAATTCAAGGAAACCAAAAAAGGTTTTTGAACATTTTTCAGCATGCGATATTTAGGAAGAGAAAAACTACAGAGAGAGAAATCTCGTTGATTTTCATAAATCTTTAATCGTTGACACTTTTTTCATACAACTAACCCAATTAGAGAAAACTAGGTCCCCAGGGTTTTCTTATTCGTACGGAAACTTTTTTACTTGCAAGAAGCAAAAGTATTGCAATCGGGTACTAGACGTTTTTCCCTTAAATAACTTTGTTCATAGAATGGTCAATTTTAGTAGGAATTTCAATTTTTACAACAGCAGACATGCTCAATTTCGTGAAAGCTTAAACAAAACTACCGTCTTGAAAATTTTATTATATCGTATTCGTGGTTTTATTCCTCATTTCTGTCGGCTCAAAGTCCTTTTTTAAATGCAGTTTGTAATATCTGGTATGTTTTTTTGGCTTACTTTCCAAAGCATAGTTTTTTTATTTAAATAGTTTCTACTATAATTGAAAGTTCTGTAAATTGTAATTTTTTTTTTCGAATGAACGGTTTCAACTTAGTCACATCATATTGCGTAGTTTCGGAGGTAAAATATATTTTATGCTTTCATGCGGTTCGTAAAAACTTTTAGAACTTTATAGCTCAAAACTTTTTTCTGACAACAGTTTTTTTTCGGCTTAAATTCTTCTCCTCTTTACTCTCTTTGCTTTACACATCTTTTCTTTATTATTGAAACCTAACATATATCAGGTTCCTTCTTAATTGACCCAGCAGTACCGCCGTCGCCTTTAAATCCTAAGGTCTGGGGTTCGAGTCTCGGCCGGACCTTGTTTTTTCAGTTCTTATGCAATTGAGAAAAAAATCGGTAAAAATTGAATTGTCGGATTTTGTTTGTCTATTCAAGTTTTGTCGACTAAGTTGCCACTGTTGTGCAGCAAAAGTTGGGAAACGAAAAATCACCAATCCGACTGAATAAAACTAGTGATTCGCAAAGAGTGTAAATTATTTCATGAGTTATAGATAGAAGTCAATTGATTTTTGTTAAATGCGGTTTTAAATAAGTAAATCAGTTCAATCGTAGATTTAGTTCAAGTAGAAAGCTGAGATGTCTTTTTTAGGCTCCAACATTCCGCCTTCCTTGAAGTGTCTTCAATTTTCAGATCGTTATTATGTCTGGATATGACTACCCATTTACAGTGTATGAGACGAAGGAGAGGAAAAGTAGGGCGGAGTCGGGTAGAGCACCACGTCTGCCTCCACATGGCGAGGTGCGAAGGTCCAGTAGGCGGGGCGCTGTCGACCGGGAGGACCTGCAGGGTTTCTTCGATGCAGTGACCAGAGGAGATCTGGGTTTCACTCCGATTCCTGTAAAGTCGTTGGATGAGATCCAGTCTTCAAGGAAGGAAGCTGCAATCGTGGATAGGGCAGTTCTGCGGTTTCCGAAAGCTGAGACTGTGAGTAGCATTTATTCCATTGTATCATAGTAGTAGAGTATAGCGGGTGTGCATCAATTGTTTGTTTTGTTTTAGAAGCAACTTAGAGGTCATAAACGTATTAGTGACCTCAGCGTAGAAGGGTCATTGTGCACTGGCTGGTAGCAACGATTCGGAGATGGGGTTCACTGATGCTGCTAAGTATCTGAGGAACCTTGGTTCTCAGCAGAAAAAACTGGTCCGCTATGGTGTTCTTGAGAAGGGGAAAAGTTTGTATCTTCCATATGCGTGGTGCCATGCAGTTCTGACTCTCTGCGACGAAGAGAGGGTCTGCTGCATGTACTATGCGGAGATGCAAACTCGACTTTCCTTGGTAGCATCTGCGTGGAAGCGCTGCCAGCAACACTGCAGGGTCAACCAGCGAAGAGGACCAGATGACAGCGAATCGCATGACAGCGAATGACTGTTCAACGGTAAATATGTAAGCAATTATTCAAAAAATGAACTAAATGTGACTGCACCATAAGTAAGGAGTATACAAGTGAAGTATTAACGGTACGAGTCATGAGCGAAAGTTTGTCCTAGCTGTTTTCAGACAATAATTACATTTTGGGTCATGAGGGTACAACCTCATACGAATTTTAATGCTGGGAATTTACAACATTGGGAATTTACATGAAATCGGTCAATATGAACGATTCAGACCATAATGTATTACATAGGGGGTAATTTAGGTTCCTACTTTCAAAAGGGTCATGGGGGTACTACCACTTAAAATTTGAAAACTGCACATTTTTGATATTTTTCGATTTTTAGCACTATAAAGTTCTTGTTTTAAATGAACTGCACATTGGATATGACTTGGTTGCTATACTGGTAGCTTCCGCAGCTTCGCGACTGGGCGTATGTATTCACCAGTTGTGGTCTTCACTTTTACCACTCGAACAATCGAGTCATTTCCAGGATAAACTTCTATGATTCGTCCAGTTTTCCATTCTAGCGGTCGTTCATTGTCTTCGGCAAGTAGGACTAGGTTGCCAACTTTAAATTCTGAGCCATCCGTGAACCATTTTTTCCGTATTTGTAGCGTTATGAGGTAATCCCTTTTCCAAACTTTCCAGAAATCCTTGATCATATTCTGTAACAGTCGATATCGTACATTGGTTGAAACTTGGATGTAAGCAGAGGGAAGAGTTAGCAATGATTCCCCTATCAGAAAATGAGCGGGTGTCAGCGGAGTTGGGTCGTTAGGATCACTTGACATTGGATACAATGGTCGTGAGTTTAAGACAGCTTCAATTTGATTAAGAATTGTAAGAAATTCTTCAAAACTGAGACGTTGCAGTCCTATAACTTTTCGCATATGTCGCTTCATACTTTTTACAGCTGCTTCCCAGAGTCCTCCAAAGTGAGGAGCACGAGGAGGGACGGTGACCCATTCAGTTGCTTGGCTATTGACGAAACTAACAACTGATTTGTCCGTTCCATTTTTGTCCAGCAGTTCCTTGATTTTGATCAGGTCATTTCGAGCCTCGATAAAATTGCTTCCATTGTCACTTAAGATCTTCTCAGGTTTGCCACGGCGTGCAGTAAATCGTTTCAATGAAAGGATGCATGCTTCTTTGGTTAGACGAGTAACCATTTCCAAATGAA